TTCTTTTTTAGAACTTATGAAGTAATGACATTTTTCCACGAATTATGAGGACGGATATCGTCATCTTTATTATTCTGATTACTATGTTTTGTTCTCACGATTTTAGAAGTTTTGAAAGAAAGTACTATCACTGTTCAACGAATTATGATACTAGAATCGAACATGTGAGTAACGACGAAGTTTTGGGGGAAAATGGAAACAAAAAGGAAACTACAGAGTACCCAGTAAAAAAAAGCAGTAAATTCAGAAAGAAATTTATTTAACTGTCATGATTCAAGCACAAAGTGAACAATCATCGAAGAAGTTCGAAATGTTTACCTGAATGTTCAACACAAAGTTGTAAGTGTGATAACCAGGTGAAGGCAGTAGTTTTCCTGATAGTGTCAAGAGGAATTTCCTTCCAAGCTTCAGTTAAGTTCCACTTCAGTGAATCAAAATCAGCAGTTTTGCAAGTGCGTTAGGAGTATACTCCAGATACAGTCATCCAAAACATCAGGGCTTTTAGATGGCAACGTCGAATAATGTTAGTGCAAACTGAAGATTAAAAAGAAAAGACAGCTTTCTTGCTTTCTACAGGGTACCCAGTAAAAAAAGCGGTAAATCCAGAAATACATTTATTTAACTGTCATGATTCAAGCACAAAGTGAACAATCATCGTAGAAGTTCGAAATGTTTACTTGAATGTTCAACACAAAGTTTTAAGCGTGATAACCAGGAGGCAGTAGCTTTGCGGATAGTGCTAAAAAGAATTTCATCCCAAGCTTCGGTTAAGTTCCACTTCAATGAATCAATATCGATGATGTCACGACGACTGCTTTGCAAGTGAGTTAAAAGTATACTCCAGATACATTAACCCATAACTTTCAGATCTGGGCTTTTAGAAGGCCACTGAGATGGAGCGATTAGAGCTGGTGTATTTTCTCGAAGAATAAATTTTCCGCTTTTTTACTGGGCACCCTGTAATACTTAACATCAGGAAGAGATTTCTGGGGCATATAACGAGGAAGGGGGTTTGGAAAATCTAATACTCACGGGATAGATAGAGGGCAAGAGGAACAAAGGAAAACAACGCACAACATACTTATTAAGCTTGAGTAAATGGATGGCGGAACAGGGCTTAGGAGAAATAACGAAAAAAACAAAGTTTATTAAGAGCTACAAGAGACAGGAAGTCGTGGAGAGCCATGATCTCCCACGTCTTGAAAAGACACAGCACATAAAGAATAAGAATCGTCCTCATTGTTGCTTTGATTACTACGTTTGTGCCGATAGGTTTTTCTTTTTCTGATATTTTTAAGCGTTTTTAGGAGTTCTGAAAAGAAATATTATCGTTCGTCCATTAATTACGATGACGAGTATCCTCATCTTTATTGTTTGATCATTATGTTTAAGTCGATATGTTTTCCATTTTTTCCTAACGTTTTCAAAAATTATAAAGTGAAATATGATCACTCTTCCATGAATAATAAGGACTAGTATCTTCATCTTCGTTGTTTTGATTAATATGTTTAGGTCGATAGTTTTTTTTTATTTTCTAGCTTTTTTAGAAGTTATGAAATGAATTATTCTCATTGCTCCACGAATTAGGTGACTAGCATCGTTATTTTTGTTGTTTCGATCACCACATTTTTCTGCCGCTGTTTTCTCCTATAAAAGTGGAGAAATTAACGTGTTTTTTATCATTTTAACGTCGTATCACATTTGATGAATATTTTTGCACTCATATCCACCAAATCCTTTCACCAGCTTGCCCAGTGCTTTGTTTATTTCGTTCCTAAAATGAATATTATACTTAGAAAGAGACAGTTGAAATTTCTAGGGCACATAACGAGGAAAGAAGGCTTAGAAAACTTGCAACACACATGACGTACTGAAGGCAAGAGGGACAGAAAAAACAGCGAGTGACCTACGTTGTGTAAAAAGACTAATCTTCTCTACACTATTGAAATTCATACATCCGCTATAATTAGGGCGTATGCTCATGGAACAGTGGAAACAAGTAAGCCGCTAAGGCGTAGCGCTTTCAGTCGTACTGAACAAATGTATTCTCAGTTCTCATGTGATTAAATCCTTCACTCAGTCCTTTGTTCACAGTGTTGTCCTTATATGACTTACTAACCGGCAACTTGTCCTGGGTAAGACGATAAACTACATCCAACAGCAAGGCCTCTGATCAGGAGGTTTTGAGGAGCGTGGAACCATCTTTAAATTGCTGGTGTTCCCAGGTTCATCCTGACCCGGGGTGGTAGAACCTGTTAAAGTCCCAGCTATGGGCAAATGGTTAAACCCCAAACTGGGGTCAAAAGGTTTAAAAATAGGTTTTAATACCACAATATATTTTTGTAAAAAATGACTACAAGTAATACATTACTACCAGCAATACTTTTTGGGGAAAATATTACCAGCAATACATTAAAAAATATTACCAGCAATACATTAAAAAAATAATAGCAATACATTTAAAAAAAATATTACCAGCAGTACATTAAAAAAAACATTACCAGCAATGCATTTTAAAAAAATATTACCAGAAATACATAAAAAAAACATATTACCAGCAATGGATTTAAAAAAAAAACCATATTACCAGTAATACATTTAAAAAAATATTACCAGTAATACATTTTAAAAAAACATATTGCCAGCAATACACTTAAAAAAATCTATTACCAGCAATACATTTAAAAAAATATTACCAGCAGTACATTAAAAAAAAATATTACCAGCAATGCATTTCAAAATATTACCAGCAATGCATTTAAAAAAATATTACCAGCAATACATTAAAAAAGCATATTACCAGCAATACATTTAAAAAAAACATATTACCAGCAATACATTTAAAAAAATATTAGCAGTAATACATTAAAAAAAGATATTGCCAGCAATACATTTAAAAAAATATTACCAGCAATATATTTAAAAAATATTATCAACAATACATTTAAAAAGAACATATTGCCAGAAATACATTTAAAAAAATATTACCAGCAATACATTTAAAAAATATTATCATCAATACATCTAAAAAAACATATTGCCAGCAATACATTTTTTAAAAAAATATTACCAGCAGTACATTAAAAAAACATATTACCAGCAATGCATTTAAAAAATATATTATCAGCAATACATTTTTAAAAAAACATATTACCAGCAATACATTTAAAAAATATTACCAGTAATGCATTAAAAAAGACATATTGCCAGCAATACATTTTTAAAAAATATTACTAGCTATATATTTAAACAAATATTATCATCAATACATTTATAAAAAAAACATATTACCAGCAATACATTTTAAAAAAAATATTACCAGCAGTACATTAAAAAAAAACATATTACAAGCAATGCACTTAAAAAAATATATTATCAGCAATACATTTTTAAAAAAAGCATATTACCAGCAATACATTTGAAAAATCTTACCAGCAATACATTTAAAAAATATTACCAGTAATACATTAAAAAAGACATATTGCCAGCAATACATTTTTAAAAAATATTACCAGCAATACATTTAAAAATATACTATCAGCAATACATTTAAAAAAAATATTATCAGCAATACATTTAAAAAAAATATTACCAGCAATACATTTTTGAAAAAATATTACCAAAAATATTTTTTGAAAAAAATATTATCGGAATTAAATAACCCATTGAGGTTGATATGCCGTAAACCAAACCAAACCAAACCAACCAAACCAAACCAAACCTAACCGGCAACTACGAGTGTTATATGAACTTTATAAATTGTGTAAATTGAAGAGAAAACAGGGAATGGAAGAGATAGAACAAAAAATTGCTAAGATCTACACATGATAAGACGTTGTCGAGAACCATGATTGCACAAGGAATTCGACACCTACAAGAAGAAGAAGAAGAAGAAAATTAGTGAAAAGTTCGTTAATTTAATGATAAATAAGAATAACTAGTTAACAACGAATCATATTGGGCACCCTTGAAATGTTCTCTGCAGAAAAAAATAAACATTTTTAACAGATCAGTTCAGTTTTGTATTTTCACGCTTCTGTTATGAAACGTGAGAACGATCCCACATTTCTTTTCCAGATTTACGAGACAATGCGCCAATGTTTAATATCCTACCATACAATATGTCCTTTAGTATCAACAGGATAAATCTAAAATACATAATCTTTTGTTCGGGATAAAAAAAACGCATGGTTTCTTTAAAATCAAATTAATTATAGTTCGGCTGGAGTCACGCATACGTGACTCAAATGTGAAAGAAAAGAAGCCGTTATTTTTTTTATAAAAAAAAGAAGTTATTTTTAACATATATATTCTTAAATCGCCGAAGTAATGTGTGTTTTTGCGTGTGTAAATATTTTCTCTTTTCATTTTTCTCTTTATTTTCTGTCCTTGGATTTTATATTTAAACATTATTAAAGAAAATATTTTCAACATAGCTGTAAACTAAAAATAACATCGCACATTACACGTTTGATTAAAACTCAGAAGACTGGAGTATGTATCTGCCGAAACGTAATAATTAAAATAACAAAGATAACAATATTAATCCGTGGACTAATAAAAATAACACAATCCCTAAAATTTGAGTGACTGATTCGTTTTATATGGCTTTTCTACACTTTGCAGGTTATTTAAAAGAAGAAAATATTTTTAGATTGTATTATTTTTTGTTTGAGATAATATTGATTCAGTGATACAAGTCCTACTAATTAACCCATAGCTGGAGGGGGAGAATAGGTGGATTCATACCTTTCCTAAGAGTATTTGTGCATAAATTGATTTTCTAAGCGTGGCTTAGATGTGGCACAAGGCCGAAAGTATGGGGCGCCCAGTGAGGATCGAACTCCCTAAACAGTCGTAACTATTCTAGCCCGACAAGCTTGTTAACCACTACACTACATCGAGATGCCCTTTGTGCGTAAGTGAATATAACGAACCTAACTGGAATTGGAAGTCGGGTCTTTTATTAATAATTCCGAGTCACCACCCGCACATCCAAGCTTACAGCATCTGGTATTCTCAAGCAGTTATCCAACTAGGTACTGGCCAGGCTCGACGTTGCTTAACTTCGGTGATCGTACGGGAAATAATATTTCAACGTGATATGGCCGTAAGCCTCCAAATGTTGACAAAATTGGAATGACTGAAGAACGTAAACGAATGATTGAAACTAAAAGAATACTTTGTAGAATATGTCTTAGACTAAAAAGGCAATTTGTTAGACGTAGGCCTTAGCCCCAGATTATGGAAAGGATTAGGCCATTACCCTATCATGCTGGTCCAATGCGTGTTAGGAAGGGCAGGTGTGACACTTTTGGGCGAACCTAACTGGAATTTGATCTCGGCTCTTCCGATTTCTGTTATCGTGACCTATCTACATTAGAATGAACTTTTCCTCCGTCATAAATACTAACCTGCGAGACTTCCTAAGGAGAAGCAGTCGGGACACAGTGTAACCTGATAGTTTAGACGGACACTTCTATCTGATGACTAATAACACTCTTATTTTGTATATATGTTCTGTTATTTCAATACACTTGTTCAACCTACTTTCTTCTTTCCGTGTCTTTCTTTCTGGCCTCTAACAGTCAGCACCTAGTATTCCCAAGCGGTCACCCATCTAAATACTGACCAGGCGTTGCTTAACTTCGGTGATATAACGAGAACCGGTGTTTCAACGCGATATGACTGTAAGCCTTGTAGACTATTAAGATGTTTTATATGTATTTTCATTTGTTACTAACCTTTACCCAAATTTTACTTCGTTTATACACGTAGGTTATTTATGACTCCACTATTATTATTATTATTATTATTTGATTTCATATTCTTTCCGACTGTTAGATGTTTTGGCTCGGTAATGATGATCATATATCAGCACCTACCTGCTGCTTTGAGACACAACATTTTCCTCAGCGCATAAGCTATTCCAAGCAGTGCTGGAACCTGCGCATTCCCAATGATGTCAGGTATCCCAAGACGTCATTCCTGGAAATAGCCCCGAGTGCACCAACCAACTAGACAAATGGACAACTTAAGTTGCTGTCTGGCACATTTCTCTGATTTGCCCTGCCAGGTCTTCGTACCTCTGTATTTGTCAGGGCATTATTATTATTATTATTTTACTTTGTATAGCACGAGTTGTATAGTCGCAATCAGAGACTTCAAAAGACAACAGAAAAGATGTCATGTGTGGTGTTTCGCATCATTCAGGTTTTCAATACTTCTGACCCCCAACGTTACATCATAGACTGCATCACCGATGGACAATTTAACTTTTTTTATAGCTTACCTTATTATATGAGGGACAGTAGTTGTATCATCGGTTCTAGGATTAAGCGAGAAGGAGATGGGGATTATGGGAAGAACGCATCTCAACAGGTTGGTCAAAATCTCATTGCCACGAGAAATTTAATGCCGGCGGTATTTCTAATTCTTACAACCGTCTCAGTATTTTCGCATCTTTTTAGTCTTATATCAAAAATTTAAACCAAGGTAATTCATCACTATAAAAATTTCACGATCACGAGGTCCAAACCACTTTCACTCAGTTCGGATCATCAGAGTTCTGTAGTTTGCTATTCTGGGCCAGTCTACGCATTTTAAAACATGCAATCAGAAAAATGTAATTAAGAGAAATCTACACAACATAAGTATGATTTATATTTCAATTCACATATATAAATATGTGAATTGCAAAATAAATCATACTTATTGACAGGAAATTGATCCACACACATTTGTTGGTTCCTTTTGATATAATTCCCAAAGCTGCAATAACAACAAATAATACCACATTCTACTGATTTCTAACTCGAGGTTATTGTATTTACTGAGTTTATTATTATTATTATTATTATTTTGTGTGGTATCATCTTATCAGAGTGTAATCGTCCTGGGTCTGATGATAAACTACATCGGGCAGCAAGAGGTTTTGAGAAGCGTGAAAATACCTCTTAATTGCTGTTGTTCCCGGGTCTATCCTGACCAGGGGTGGTAGCACCTGTTAGGGTCCCATCTATGAGCAAATAGTTAACCCTCAAACTGGGGTCAAAACAGCACGAAAATATAAAAGAAAAAAAAGATTTTTATAGTAAAAATACCAGCAATACATTTTTGAAAAAAATGCCAGCCATATATTTGACGCTCAAGAAAAAAACCCTCTTTACAAAAATATGTCAATGAAACCTGATCTACAAATTGATTTCTTACAAATACATATTTTATTCATACGAAACCATCTTGAAAATCTTGTTGGCATTAAATAACCCATTGAGGTTGATATGCCGTAAATCAAAATAAGCCAAAACAAACGAGAGAGTAATTTTAAGTGCTTAATTACCAAGTCTCCTCCAGGGTTTATGAGCGAAAAGGGCACTGTAGGCGAGTAATCTATGCACATTTGGGACGTTTCGTTTATATGGAGAGGGTTTTACGGATGATATGTTCAGTTTTGTACAAAGTAATCTTTTGTAGCTCTGAGATGTGTCCATGAATTGTACTCACATGGTTTTCGGTACCCTTTCTTTATCATACCCAATGCTCCTATCACAACAGGGATAATCTTTGTTTTAAGTTTCAACATTTTTGTTACTTCAATTTTCAGGTCCTTCTAATTTGACCCGACACCTAGTTTGATAAGCGTATACCAGTCACATGCATCACAGCCAAATGTGCCTAATACGGTGAGAGATTTTGATAAAACTTTGCAGGTACGGCCCAGTTAGAAATACTTTCAGGTCGGGTAACTTAGTCTGCTCAGGCGGGTCTCCGATTGAGGATGTTCTCAAGTATCGAGGCGTGGTTCCCAAGTCGCCTTGGCTACATCATTCTTCAAACTTAAAATAAAAAACAACTTTCTTGATATCCAGTCATAATACTCTTCCTACACTCCTGTTCATGTAAAATACTCCAGTATCTAAAGGATATGCCCAACTAGTTAAAATTGGGCATATCCTTTAGAAATTTGTGGTACTGAACGGGATATAGTCCATCTTAATTTATTAAGATAAACCATGTACGTGTTAACAACTCCGATTAATTAAAATCAAAAGCCATGAGAGCTATGCTAACATTAGAACATTTTATTATTATTATTATTATTATTATTATTATTATTATTATTCGTGTATGTTGTGTTTCCTGCTTTGTATCCTGTAGAGCCGAGTCCAAACTATGGTCCTTAGGCCCTATATCATTTAATTGATAACATTTTTCTTAGTAAATGGGATGTTCCTAGTAGGGCGATTTTCTGGGAAACTTGTATGTGTTACCTGGGATATTGTTAGTAAAATTGTCCATTTCTTTTCTCACGAGGCCCAGAGCTCCGATTATTATCGGCACAGTCTCAGTCTTCATTCCCCACATCCTGTTAATCTCAATCTCCAGGTCCTTGTATTTGGACAATTTCCCGATAATTTTCATGGAGTTGTTTCATTCAGATGATACGTGTATTATTATTATTATTATTATTATTGTTGTTGTTGTTGTTATTTCCTTTGATTTCTGTTGGGTACACATTTCATTCCATTTTTATTTTGTATTTCTTTAAGGTATGGACTACAAAGAATCCTTTCAATGAGTTTATCTGAACCGTTTCTAATCAATCCCAAGACTCGAACTACAACTGGTATTATTTATGTCCTCATGTACTACATTTTCGAGATTTCCATTCCAAAATCCTTGTATTTTGATATTTGTTTGAAGATCTTCAAAGTTACATTTCAATCTGCAGGAATTGCAATATCAATAAGAATGCACATTCTGTTCTTGCGGTCTTTGATCCCGATGTCTGGGCGATTAGCTTTCATTGTTCGTTCTACGTGTATTATAAAGTCCCTTAAAATTGTTGCAGGTCCTGTCTCTGTAACCGGTGGTGTTCATACCAGTTTCTTGCAGTTTCCTCCCGTAAAAGTTGCATATTTTCCAGTTCAGATATTGCTGAGTTTTATATCTAGTTGGTGCTAACACTGATACAAGATGGTCAATTGTTCCTGGACAATTATCACAAAATCTACCTTTCGGGTTAACATAATTTTTCAGTATAGATGCTTGGTAATTTCAAATTAGCAAGAAATAGACCTGTGCAGCAAGAATAAAATATTCGGTTTCAACTTTTAACCATGCACTACGTAATCACTCATAGGTACGGAGTTTGTCTACATTAGCTTGTTTGCTACGGGTATAGTATTGAACATGAAGAGGCTTATCTTGTCATCGCTTCTGCATTTGGTACATTGCATTTGCTTTTTTATGTTCTTTGCTGCTGCTGCAGTAGATGTATTATGGTTTACTTGCACTTCTTCACCCACTTGAAATTCCCTTTTGAATTTGTTGACTTCCTTTGTTACTGAATAAAGTTTCTTATTTCTTTCATGTTCTTTGACACAGATCATCATCCAGTCTTCTATAGTTTCCGAGTATCTTTGATTGTTGTGGATTTGTAAAACAGTTCTAATTGAAATAATCCTCTCCCACCTTCGGATCTGGACACATACAGACGATCAACATCAGCCTTAGGATGATGCATGCAGTGGCAAATGAGAAGCTTTCTCGTTTTGTCATCCATTCGCTTAATATCAGCTATGGTCCAATTAAGGATGTTAATATTTCAATATCAGTTTTTTGGAAGGTATCTTTCACTCTTTCAATGTGAGTTCGGATTTCGGTGTCACTTTTTCTGTCGTCTGCTTAAACACTTCCTATATAATTCTGGAAAGACACATTTACCTACAAAAATGTCATCTTGTCCTCAAGACCGCACCCAAGGCCAGTATTTAAAAAATCTACGGAAGACAAAAAGAATGATGTAAATCTTTCCTACAGAAGTAGTGAAACCGCTTTTTTTCCCAATGTTTTATCTATAGGATCAAATATGGTATATCAGTTTCACATGAAATATGAACTGAGATCTTTTTCAAAATGAAACAGTCACGAATGTGAACTTCTTTCGTTAAGAATCATGTCGCTAATGTTGGAACACTGACGTTATATCGATTTTCGATTATCTTAAATAAAAAACGTCAAAAGCCTAAGGAAATAGCAAGATGATATTTTTCAGTCTGGTGAACTTTTATTTAATTTTTTCACCTTTACGGACATCCATACACGACATTATCAAAAAATAAGAATGATAAATATAACAAATTTAAAGCCAAAGTACCTAAAATTAAATAAAACATTAGATTACGGAGAATATTTTTTCTAATTTTTTAATTAGTTACAAATTATATAAAAAGGCGCTTACGTTACATTCCTCAAGTAATTTTTACAGATATGTCCACCGTAGAAAAAAAAAACTTCCTTCTGTCAGTTAAGTTGTCAACACCAGAAACTATCGCAATATTTTAAATTAAAGCTAAGTAATATTTGTTTCAAATCAGACTAATTAAACTTTAAATATTCCTCAAATAAAGTTTCAAAAAAGTATATTTTAGTTTTGAAAGATTTTTTAAAAGAGTGAATTACATTGCTCTGACGGTTAAAAACGGCACTAAAATCAGCGATTTTTAGCGATTTCAAAACAAAAACAATCCCAGACAATTTAAATTAGTTTTGAAATGCAGCAATGTATTTTGTTTATTGGAAATAATAAATTTAATGTATTAGCTTGAAATTAAAACTAAAATAAAAGCCTCAAGAAAAATTTTTTTCATTTTTTAAAAATTCATTTAAAACCTTAGGTATCGTGTTT